GGTGCTGGAAGAGCTGCATAGAGTCCACTAGTATTTAATATTAGCCTGTACTGGCCCAATAAAATGTGACCTCCAGATCAGTAAAATTAGGGGTGCTGGAAGAGCTGCATAGAGTCCACTAGTATTTAATATTAGCCTGTACTGGCCCAATAAAATGTGACCTCCAGATCAGTAAAATTAGGGGTGCTGGAAGAGCTGCATAGAGTCCACTAGTATTTAATATTAGCCTGTACTGGCCCAATAAAATGTGACCTCCAGATCAGTAAAATTAGGGGTGCTGGAAGAGCTGCATAGAGTCCACTAGTATTTAATATTAGCCTGTACTGGCCCAATAAAATGTGACCTCCAGATCAGTAAAATTAGGGGTGCTGGAAGAGCTGCATAGAGTCCACTAGTATTTAATATTAGCCTGTACTGGCCCAATAAAATGTGACCTCCAGATCAGTAAAATTAGGGGTGCTGGAAGAGCTGCATAGAGTCCACTAGTATTTAATATTAGCCTGTACTGGCCCAATAAAATGTGACCTCCAGATCAGTAAAATTAGGGGTGCTGGAAGAGCTGCATAGAGTCCACTAGTATTTAATATTAGCCTGTACTGGCCCAATAAAATGTGACCTCCAGATCAGTAAAATTAGGGGTGCTGGAAGAGCTGCATAGAGTCCACTAGTATTTAATATTAGCCTGTACTGGCCCAATAAAATGTGACCTCCAGATCAGTAAAATTAGGGGTGCTGGAAGAGCTGCATAGAGTCCACTAGTATTTAATATTAGCCTGTACTGGCCCAATAAAATGTGACCTCCAGATCAGTAAAATTAGGGGTGCTGGAAGAGCTGCATAGAGTCCACTAGTATTTAATATTAGCCTGTACTGGCCCAATAAAATGTGACCTCCAGATCAGTAAAATTAGGGGTGCTGGAAGAGCTGCATAGAGTCCACTAGTATTTAATATTAGCCTGTACTGGCCCAATAAAATGTGACCTCCAGATCAGTAAAATTAGGGGTGCTGGAAGAGCTGCATAGAGTCCACTAGTATTTAATATTAGCCTGTACTGGCCCAATAAAATGTGACCTCCAGATCAGTAAAATTAGGGGTGCTGGAAGAGCTGCATAGAGTCCACTAGTATTTAATATTAGCCTGTACTGGCCCAATAAAATGTGACCTCCAGATCAGTAAAATTAGGGGTGCTGGAAGAGCTGCATAGAGTCCACTAGTATTTAATATTAGCCTGTACTGGCCCAATAAAATGTGACCTCCAGATCAGTAAAATTAGGGGTGCTGGAAGAGCTGCATAGAGTCCACTAGTATTTAATATTAGCCTGTACTGGCCCAATAAAATGTGACCTCCAGATCAGTAAAATTAGGGGTGCTGGAAGAGCTGCATAGAGTCCACTAGTATTTAATATTAGCCTGTACTGGCCCAATAAAATGTGACCTCCAGATCAGTAAAATTAGGGGTGCTGGAAGAGCTGCATAGAGTCCACTAGTATTTAATATTAGCCTGTACTGGCCCAATAAAATGTGACCTCCAGATCAGTAAAATTAGGGGTGCTGGAAGAGCTGCATAGAGTCCACTAGTATTTAATATTAGCCTGTACTGGCCCAATAAAATGTGACCTCCAGATCAGTAAAATTAGGGGTGCTGGAAGAGCTGCATAGAGTCCACTAGTATTTAATATTAGCCTGTACTGGCCCAATAAAATGTGACCTCCAGATCAGTAAAATTAGGGGTGCTGGAAGAGCTGCATAGAGTCCACTAGTATTTAATATTAGCCTGTACTGGCCCAATAAAATGTGACCTCCAGATCAGTAAAATTAGGGGTGCTGGAAGAGCTGCATAGAGTCCACTAGTATTTAATATTAGCCTGTACTGGCCCAATAAAATGTGACCTCCAGATCAGTAAAATTAGGGGTGCTGGAAGAGCTGCATAGAGTCCACTAGTATTTAATATTAGCCTGTACTGGCCCAATAAAATGTGACCTCCAGATCAGTAAAATTAGGGGTGCTGGAAGAGCTGCATAGAGTCCACTAGTATTTAATATTAGCCTGTACTGGCCCAATAAAATGTGACCTCCAGATCAGTAAAATTAGGGGTGCTGGAAGAGCTGCATAGAGTCCACTAGTATTTAATATTAGCCTGTACTGGCCCAATAAAATGTGACCTCCAGATCAGTAAAATTAGGGGTGCTGGAAGAGCTGCATAGAGTCCACTAGTATTTAATATTAGCCTGTACTGGCCCAATAAAATGTGACCTCCAGATCAGTAAAATTAGGGGTGCTGGAAGAGCTGCATAGAGTCCACTAGTATTTAATATTAGCCTGTACTGGCCCAATAAAATGTGACCTCCAGATCAGTAAAATTAGGGGTGCTGGAAGAGCTGCATAGAGTCCACTAGTATTTAATATTAGCCTGTACTGGCCCAATAAAATGTGACCTCCAGATCAGTAAAATTAGGGGTGCTGGAAGAGCTGCATAGAGTCCACTAGTATTTAATATTAGCCTGTACTGGCCCAATAAAATGTGACCTCCAGATCAGTAAAATTAGGGGTGCTGGAAGAGCTGCATAGAGTCCACTAGTATTTAATATTAGCCTGTACTGGCCCAATAAAATGTGACCTCCAGATCAGTAAAATTAGGGGTGCTGGAAGAGCTGCATAGAGTCCACTAGTATTTAATATTAGCCTGTACTGGCCCAATAAAATGTGACCTCCAGATCAGTAAAATTAGGGGTGCTGGAAGAGCTGCATAGAGTCCACTAGTATTTAATATTAGCCTGTACTGGCCCAATAAAATGTGACCTCCAGATCAGTAAAATTAGGGGTGCTGGAAGAGCTGCATAGAGTCCACTAGTATTTAATATTAGCCTGTACTGGCCCAATAAAATGTGACCTCCAGATCAGTAAAATTAGGGGTGCTGGAAGAGCTGCATAGAGTCCACTAGTATTTAATATTAGCCTGTACTGGCCCAATAAAATGTGACCTCCAGATCAGTAAAATTAGGGGTGCTGGAAGAGCTGCATAGAGTCCACTAGTATTTAATATTAGCCTGTACTGGCCCAATAAAATGTGACCTCCAGATCAGTAAAATTAGGGGTGCTGGAAGAGCTGCATAGAGTCCACTAGTATTTAATATTAGCCTGTACTGGCCCAATAAAATGTGACCTCCAGATCAGTAAAATTAGGGGTGCTGGAAGAGCTGCATAGAGTCCACTAGTATTTAATATTAGCCTGTACTGGCCCAATAAAATGTGACCTCCAGATCAGTAAAATTAGGGGTGCTGGAAGAGCTGCATAGAGTCCACTAGTATTTAATATTAGCCTGTACTGGCCCAATAAAATGTGACCTCCAGATCAGTAAAATTAGGGGTGCTGGAAGAGCTGCATAGAGTCCACTAGTATTTAATATTAGCCTGTACTGGCCCAATAAAATGTGACCTCCAGATCAGTAAAATTAGGGGTGCTGGAAGAGCTGCATAGAGTCCACTAGTATTTAATATTAGCCTGTACTGGCCCAATAAAATGTGACCTCCAGATCAGTAAAATTAGGGGTGCTGGAAGAGCTGCATAGAGTCCACTAGTATTTAATATTAGCCTGTACTGGCCCAATAAAATGTGACCTCCAGATCAGTAAAATTAGGGGTGCTGGAAGAGCTGCATAGAGTCCACTAGTATTTAATATTAGCCTGTACTGGCCCAATAAAATGTGACCTCCAGATCAGTAAAATTAGGGGTGCTGGAAGAGCTGCATAGAGTCCACTAGTATTTAATATTAGCCAGGACGGTATTATGAGAAAGCAATACCTGTTGATGAACTGGACCTAAATCTCGCACACACCACCAGCGATGAAGACAGGGGTGATGATGTTGATGATGAAGATGAGGAAGTTGGAGATGAGGTTGAGAATGTAGAGGAAGAGGTTTCAGAAGAGTGAGCTGAAAAGAAGACAAGTTTCTATTCTAATTTACTGATTATTATATTTATTGAAATAAACATACAATATCCATTACTCCAGGAGTGATGACAGGATATATAAAAAAACAAGACGGTACAATCCTTAATAAAAACACCTTATCTCTCCTTACCTGGGGATCTCAGGCTATTATGTTCATAAATAGAGATTAGGCGGAATGACAGGCTGAGCGCGGCCCAGTAAATCTCTCCCAACAATTTTATTTGGTTCAAGTAATATCCTTGTCTCCAACTGGAGGGACATTTTCAAATTTCAGCTTTCCGCGACCCAAATTTCACTGTTTTGACTGAATTTCTCTTCAATGACCATTTTACAAGGTCACTAAGGATGCCACAAGACACGATTGAGTTACCCAAAGTCCTATTCCCAAAAAAGCTTTGATAAACGAAAAATTATCAGAATATAAAAAGAGGTTTTGGAAGATTTTTGAAAAGAAGTTTTTCTTGTGTCCCCTTAACCGAAATTTCGCGGTTTTTACTGAAATTTGTACCAGTGACCAATCAGTGAGGTCGGTGAGAGCGACGCAAGTCCCCATCAGGCATCAAGGTACTGGAAGCAGTATATCCGGAGAAAACTTTGATGCAATGAAAATTTTGAATATGTCCTATTATATATATATACTACTGCGGTAGGATATTTTCAGACATCAGCTTTCCTCGACCCAAATTTGTTTTAACTGAATTTTTCTTCAATTGATTAGCCTAACTCGACTCCATTTTCGGTCCCGTGTAACTGATCCGATAGAATAATGCCATTTTTGCCTTAATTGGGTGGTGACTCTAGCAGTAAAATGAGGTAGACACTAGAGTCTAGACATCAGACAACCATCACAAACGATGCTTTTTAATTTGATCAAAATGAAGGTATATCGTGTCTAAAAAGTTGCGAACATGAAGATTTGAAGAAGGCTAGAATCGGTATGCTAATGATAGAGAAAACAATTTGGCACAAAACTTCAAATTATTCCCTGAATCTGATGAGGAGAAATAGATAAAAACTCTTTTGTCTGTAATATCTCTGTAGGTGTAGGAATATGGGTGAACCAGAGGAGAAGAACTCTGTAGTGACTGCTGCTATAGTTGCTACTAAGAAAATACGGAATCCAGACAAGTATTATGTAAGTGTATTTTGAAATCAGTTTGTTGTCCGTTTTTTACTTTAAATACTTGTGGTTATCAGAATTGTAATGTTAGACATAGCTATGATGCCAATTATAAGGTACCTACCTATCTAGAGTTGTTAAGTAGCAATGGTATTCAGTCATTTGTCTACCATCATGCCAATCTTATAGATCTGACCCTTGGTAACCACCTCCTTAGTATAAGTTACGGTGGAGTCAGAGAAAACACTGCGTCTTATTGAAGAAGTGGATTTGGCAGCCCCCACCCCTCCCCCCACAATTCCACACTGAAGTTTCACTCTTTATCAATTCAGGTGTACGTTATGCGGTTAACAAGGAAGAATAAAAGTGTCTCAGTGATTTACAGACGTTACTCAGAGTTCTTCCAAATGCATGTGAGGACTTCGAATTGCAGTTCTTTAATTTTGTATACAATAGGATGAAATTGCCTTTCGATGAAAGGACTGGTTACAATCAGACAGCTTATGTCAACTATATTAAATCAGAAATAATTGTCCTAGTTAACATCAATAACAGTAGAACATGTTTAATAGCATTTTTACAATACTATTGCTACAAGAGATAAGTCTTATTAAAAAAAATTGTTAATAGTACTATTTAATTTTGATAATAGCGTTATTGTATTGGATATATTTATACATGTGTGCATATATTAATATTTGATTGTAATTTAAGATTTTAAGGCGTTAGTGCCAAGTAATGCCTCCGGGTAGTACTCCTCAATCAGTCAACATAAAACTCATAATGAATTTTATCTTGAAACCCTGTTTTATCATTGCCCAGCAACAGTTATTTTAAATTCCTCCAATACTTACTTCTCAGTGTGACATGATAGAAGCCTACAGGGAACTGATAAGTTCTAAACCGAGATTGTTACCACCCCTCCCGAGTGAGCTAGTCAAAACGGAACTTTTTAGTTGAAGAATAATTGTTTACTCTTCTGTTATTCATAATCCAGCAATGGGCACGCCCGAAGCGATGATAATATCGTTCTGATTATCAGCTAGTCCATACAAGCACATAACACAATATATGATTATTCTTGTATTAAAAACACACCGATTCTCAGAGGGTAGTGCTATCAGTCGGACGACTGCTAAGGTGGCAGAAGAGCGTATGTCATCTCTGAGAGAATACTTGGAGGCCCTGATGAAACTGGACGTGAAGTATATTTCTTGTGAGATCATGGAGGAGTTCTTCACTGTTAACGATGATGATCTTCTTTTCATGAAGAGCGCAGAGTAAGGGTCAATAATTGTGGTTTTTTCCCACTACTTTAAGTTTTACCATTATTACATTAATTGAAGTTTTTTTTTGACGTAGTGTCCCTATGAAAACCTTTTACTGAATCGGTCAGACTGAAGGTTTTTTCTTTACTTATATCATATGAACTTTTGTGCTTATTAACATTCCCTCAGTGATGACGCCGACACTAAGAACGCTGCTGAGGAGATAGGGGGCCCAGTTGCGCTTGAGGTAGGGAATATATATGATAATAAATATGGCACAACATTTTTTTAATTCACGTTTGAAAAATGTTTTCTATCGTTTTAACCATGCATATTTATTAAATTTACTCATTCCGGCAGGAATTTGAGGCTATAGAAGATTTCAACCCGAAAGACAAGAAAAGTGTCAAACTTATTGCTGGTGAAATCGTTGAGGTCGTGGAAAAAAGTGAATCAGGTTTGTGACAGTTTTAATATTGGATATTTCTTTTTTATTTGTGATCTACTTTTGTACACAACAAAAACGTATTTCTACTGAAAATGTACAGAATCTTTACCAGATTTATCACACGTGAAGGGATCATTACACAAACAGAAGTAAAAACACACAAATTAACTACTCTTACAGCACAATAATTGTCCCAATGTTTCATCCTCGTACCATATTCATCAAAGTAATGTCCGAAGAACCACTAGGGGTTCGAGCAAGGTTCATTATTGCACTTTTAACCTTCCATATGGCCAAAATGACTTCGTAGCAGGTCTCTTCAAAGGATCCAAGTATGCTACAATCAGTCTCGCACTGCTCATTCAGGAGGACACGCAGAGAAGGTCCCTGAGCTGGGTATTTTCTTATTTCTGTTGGAAAATTTACCTCAGATATCAAGCTGCTTAGTGCTGACATAACTTGACTTAAAGTAACGTCCTTAGTCCTTTCGATAAGACATTTTTTCTCAGTTTCTAAATCTGCTACTGGGCGACTCTGTTTTTGACGATGTTGCTCACACTGTTTTCTTCTCGATTGTTTCGCATGCTGATTGAGTCGATATTGCTCGAGCTCTCCTGTTTACTTTTCAACTTGGTCCTATCGATAATTCCTGTGCTGTGCCATCTCCGCTTGTTAGACCTGGGTATCCTGTCGCCACTGACCAAGGTTTCCTGGCTCGGCTGGCTAGAGATAGCGCTTCTGTCGATAGTGTTCATGCTATGGCGACCATGGCGACTATCACGCTCCTTTACGGTGATAAATGTGGCAACGATGCTGGACGATGTTGATTGAAGCTTTAATATGCTTTTCCTCCCCTCCTTGCTCCATTTCTTGAAACCAGTCATTCTCATGTAGTATAGGACGGGGTTGATGGCAGAATTGAGCACGATGAACGCCACACAGGACACTGGCCATGCGTACCAGAACATCACCCTGTTCTTTAAGTACGGTCCAGGGTATGGTAGATGAGAATGGACTCTAACATTCTCCAGGGTAAGCATGATGCAGTAGGGCATGTTGCAGAAGATGAAACAACCTGTGAAGATAGCGATTGTGTTGGATGCCTCCTTCTTCTGGTTTTGAGCTCCTCTTATTTTATCCTGACAAGTAAGTCGAATGACTGAGACGACGAAGCTTATGAAGGTGATGATTGAAGGGACTGCGACGAGCAGGACCAACCTGATCGTGACTCTTTCCAATATATCTGCATCAGGCTGGAGGAGACAGAATGGTCCCACGGAAAGGTAGATAAACCTTGCTTTGAAGATTGCTCCTGTTATCTCTATTACTAGCAACATTATTGCATAGCTCCCTAGACTCAACAATGCCCAGAACTTGTTGACTTTGTAGAATGGTAGTACGATGGCAACAGTCCTTGATACACTCAGCAGCATGACCGTGAAAATGGTGAATTTCTGCAAGAAAAAGAAAACAACATTCCAAAAACCACAAAAGATAAGATTATTGAAAATTCCTGGGATTCGACCCCTAAGAAGTGCTATTGTTGCCGGGTAATGCCCCAAACTAATCAAAAAATCACAAAAACAGTTTATCATATACAACACAGCTGACAAGTCCTTCCTTCCAGTGGAGTGGAAGTATCTTAAAGCTAGAATGTTTCCAGGGGTACCAATAAGTCCAAACAGGAGGAGGAGAACTCCCAGGAGTTTGTCTGCCGCGGGTCCACCAGATAAGTCCATCTCGTCCATTATAACGTGGGGGTTGTACTTCTGCGTTGCGTTCATTCTAATCCTGTTCAGCTGAACACCTTTATTTTAGTGTGACACATTTGGAAGTTAAAAGGTACAGCTCGAAAATTATATTAATCGGAAGTGATGAGTAGCATTTTCGAATTCAAAACAGCTAAAAATCGGAGCCAGGGAGTAAGATGAGTTACCAACTAATGGCTGGTGACAAAAACCGGGAAGTTCAGACCATTTAAAACTCTGAAACTGATCAACATAATGTAACAAGACGCTTATATGATGTAATGAGAAATTGATCGAAAGTTGATATCTAAATCTCATACACCCATTATAAGCATGTTAACTCAATAATGTCATTACCATCTCATATTATAAACTTGCTAAACTGCTAAAGTTTCATGTGTTACGCGACCTTTGAGGTTTTCTGACTTATAGTTACGGAATTATGTGCACAATGTCTGGGAAAAATTTGCGACAAGCGGTTTTCTACAGGAATGTGTTGTCCATATAATAGCCACATAATAGTCATGTAATAGCCATATAATAGCCTGAGGAACCAATCCCAAAGAGTTTTGAATCTTGATCTGATGGGGAAACAAAGCTAGAGCAAAATTTCTCCAGGCGTCTAATGACAGCAATTGAAAAACTCGTAACTACCGTCAAAAAGTCACCCAGGAGCCCCATAGGTGGTACAAAATAACCACAATAGTGACATTATGTGAGGCGAGTCAGTGTTTCAGGGTCGTCAGATCTAATGAAATAATTTCATCTTTATAGGCTATGCTCTCAAAAATTTACTAAACTTTGAAAAATTTACTAAAATTTCGAAAAAATTGTAGTACAATTTAATCAAAACGTTGTCTAGTTATAAGGATTTTAGGATTCAGGTACTACAATCATCCCAAAACTTAATGTATAAGATCTCTCAAGGCCCAGAATTTTAAACATTATTGGAAACTATAACATAATAACATAGTAGAGATATAGTCTGAGATTCTGTGATTAAATTTATTTTGTTGATTATAATGTTGTGATTGCATAATTTATTGTAAATATATTATATTTCAGTATTATGTAACGAGATGGAAATATTTTAAGCGGGTAATATCCTGTCCAAACCCAGGATACATAACAAGAAGACTTTGTTGTAACTTTGTATGAAAAGCATTAATTTACAGTCCCAAAGCTGGAAAAGCTGGATTTTATTATCATTTCATTGTTTTATGTTTATAAACATAAATGGTAATCACTAATCATGCGAGGTCTTTTAACATCGATTGAACAGATCACTTTCTAATCATCCACATAATATTGTAAAGGTAATCAATAATAATTAAATTCAGCGAAATTGACACAAGGAAGGTGTACAGTGTACACTGTACATGACGTCATCTTTACTCAACTCAAGTTTTGCTTTTAATTTGATAAGCTCTCGCATCTGCAGAAGCAATTTTGAATATATTAATTCAAGCACGATCCAGAGTTTCCATCAGGGGGATGGAAGCTTAAGTCTAATCAACTTCCTTTTTAAGAATTACTCAACAGTCAACTGCTCGCGGAATTATACATATAACCTGTAGTGTAATCACATGGTCCGGATCCTTGGAACACTGGTGAGCAGCCTGATGAGCTCTGAGTTTTGGTTAATTCCTTTTTTGTACATTTTAGAACAATGATATAAAATGAGAACGAAGTTACTTGGAATTATCACAATTTATTATGTCAGGCTGACCATAACATTAAAATTGTGATTAATAAGTTTTACATTAATTTATTTTGACAGCAGACAGACATTTAGCGACAGATCTGATCAGGACTTGGGATCTTACCAATAAACTTGGTCACTGAAGCTGTAGTATAGCACAATATTTACAGATTTACCTATGGAGTTAAATCATATCTAAATTCCTTGATGAATGTACGTCAAGGAGTGACAGAAATAATTGAAAATGGTTATTAAGCTTGTTGAACAGTGTTTTTAACCTTTTTATAAATAAGATTGTAAAATTAACCATTACTGACTAACATAGTACTTAGTAAACTGGAGGAGGTTCTGGAAACATAATATAAGTGAAATGTAACAGGTTGTTTGATTCAAACAACGTGTTTTTATCATCAGGGCCGGGGACAGTAGAGTGAAGAGTTATATATGTTTTAGTGGTGTCAATGTTGAGGTAGTTTAAGGAGCGATGGTGCATGCAACCGAGGTTGATTAGTAAACTCTCAAAACGTGACAGGGGGCAGAGGCTGGTCACGTTGTTACTAGGTTACTACCCACCTACAAGAAGCTAATGTAATAACTTAGAGCTAATCTCCTTCCTTCTTGAACAGAGAGCCTAGGGAAGGAGATGTAATTGTTCCTCCGAGTTATGAGAAAGCTTGCTGTATTAAATACCATGTTGAGTAGCTAAACTGTCCCATGTCTAGTGCAACTGGCCCAACTTGCATGGTAATTATAAGAATACTAGAAAGCCCGTGGTAACAGGGATGACGTAGAAGTAGTGTTCTTTGAAAGAAAGTTTTAATCGCATCAAAAAGTGTTCATCTTAACCGAAGATACAGCCGATTTAAATGTAAATCACCTTAATATAAACACAATGTAATTACCACAAAACCGATAAAAATGCTGTTCCAACAATCTTTGCACGTGTGCATTACAACACCGTTGCTATGCAATCTTTTGGTTTTTACCTAACTTCCTATTACTCACCAAATTGGCACGTGGGCGGTCGTACAGACAAACGTACATACAGAAAAAATCTTTAGAATTATATTAAAGATTGTCCGAATTAGGCTTGAGTACTGCTCCGCCCTCTGGAATCCTCACAAAGTACACGAATTCCAAGCACTGGAAGCAGTTCAAAGGATCCTTCACCCGCAGGATATCAGGCTGCCAGAACTTGGACTAATGGGAAAGACTAAAACTCTCAACCTCCCATCCCTCCTAAGAAGACGAGAGAGATACATATTAAAAATGCCTGGAAGTTCCTCAATGGAAAAATCACAAATAACATTGAAATGAAGTTCAATCTAAATGATCGCCTAGGAACCAAAGTTAGAATACCTCCACTTGCTAAGAACTGCCCTTCCTACATAAAAACCATGTATGAGAACCCTTTTTCTGTCAAAGCTGCAAAATTATGGAACCTACTGCCAAAATCTGTGAACACTATTGATTGAACATAAATATCCGTGAATACTGCCCTAGACAAAGTTCCTGACAATCCTCCAACGGCAGGCTACACTGCTGTCTGCAGCAACTCT